TTGTTTTCCATGATTTTCAAAGAAAAAAAAATACACAAACCAACGAGAGGAGTCCAGAATCAGCTCGAGGAGAGGTCCATGTCAAAGAACACTTTAAGATAACTGCGGCCAATCATTTTCACTCGCGCCCAGAGTTGGCTTGATGAGCAAACGCGCCTCTTATCATCCGATTTTTGCATTTAATGCCCAGTGGCGTGGCGTGAATGATCGATTATCGATATTTCCCCATTTGAGGCGCGGCAAAGAATCGATACATCGCAAAGCACGCCACGCCACTGTTAATGTCCAGGTGCCTAATTGCTCGAGACGAAAAAGGGACCGGGAAAAGCGTAATGGCGGGAGGTCGCAAAAAGGCTGTAACAAACTTGTCGAACAATCGCTTTTTAACACACTGCTCTTCGGCGGTGGAACGTCAAAAGCAAAAAGAAAAAAAAAGAGATAAGTTTTAACGGCAACGGCAGGGTTTAAAAGGGTTTTCAGTAAATTTGATATTAATTATTTTGAGTTGTCGATCAGTTTTCAATTTCCAATTATCTTGTCCGTTCCTCCGCGCGGCACTCAGGCCCCGTGCACAATAGAGCAGGCTAGAGCGCAAAAACGAAAAACAAAAATAAAGGGCCCAGGTTATAATGGGCCGAGTTTTTCCGCTCTCCCGTCCGTTTTTTCCGGCGTCGCCGCCCGTTGCGCACGCGTTGCGTCACGTCGCGTCGCACAGTGGATCGGAGCGATAGGAGAGGTTAGATTTAGTTATATTTTAACTAAATCTTTAAGTTATTAACTTAATAAAATTAATTAATTACCTAACTTCAAAGGTTATTGTTTAAAACTCAAGTTAATAATTTATATCTAATATCACTTTCCAGTGATCTTACTTTGTTACGACTTGTCTTAATTTATATAAGAATGACGGGCGATTTGTACATAGCTTATATAAAATTTAGTTAAATAACTTGATTTTAACTTACTTCTAAATCCTTTTTTAAAGCTTTAATTATTTAGTTCATTCTACTAAATTAATTTAAATGTAATCCACCTCATTTTCAAAAAATTACGTGTTGACTTGATTTTATGAGTTTGAGCAGATTTTAAATACTATTTTTAAATTTATATTTGACAGTGATATATAAATATCATTGTCTGAAATATTATAGAATTATACAGAATTTGGAAACTTTAAACGCTTAGGTTTTGACCACACGAGCGCGGTTCGCGGAACTTACTTCCAGGAACTTGTTCCCGGAACAAGTTTCAGCTGAGCTGAAAACTTATTCCTCCTTCCGAGCCTCTACATATCGACAGTGTAAGTGGGCAATCACATAACTCGTTTGCGGTGTCTGAAAATCTCCATCGCTGTTATTTTTATAAAGGAGAACAAATGGACACCATTCCTTGAAGTTTTTGCAGAATTTTCTTCACACAGAGAAGAAAAATCACGGCAGATTTAAAGACTTGCCGTAGAGTAGTTTTCCGTTTAAAAAATGAAATATGACAGGAAGTCTGCGACGTCGCAAACCGAGTTATGTGATTGCCGACTTACACCGTCGATATGTTTCTTTTGATGTGAATTTGTTTGTTTTTGTTTATTTCGTCCTTTACATGTCTTGACATTTACTTTTGTTACTTTGGCGGCCGTTATAATCTATTATTCTGCAATAATTGTATAGGTAGTTTTATTGAAGTTCCGGTTCCAGTTCGGGCGAACTCGTGTGGACAGCATGCCTCGTTTTAAAGAATAAGTTCCGGGAACCGAGCAGTTCGAGGAATAAGTTCCGCGAACTGCACTGAAAAAAAAAGTAGCTTGGATCAAGCATGATAATTTTTGAATTTGCCGCCAATAATTTTCTTTATCTTGCTTTAAGCTGACTTCTTCTTGATTCAAGAAAATTAATGCTTGGGTTAAGCAAAAAAGTAGCTTATATTAACCAGCGAAATTCTTGATTTAAGAAGAAATACTTCTTGGCGGCAAATTTAAGATTCTTTTTTTTTCCAGTGTGCGCTCGTGTGGACAGGGCCTTATAACTCCCTTTACACAAAACTTCGAGGTTCTCAAAGTGGCTTTATCGGTTTCCTCGTGAAATTTTCTTCCGGACGCACCCGTTGAAATTAAAATGTGACGAAATGAACATCAAAATTTGACGTATTCATCAAAAATTTCACGTCCGACCTCTCTGATTGACTCGATCCACTGTGCTTCGCGTCGTCAGCCCCGAGCGCGCTCGCCGCCGGCCCGATACAAAAACCAAATAAACAAAGCACCGAGCGAGAATTTATTCTAATTTATATGCAAAACTATCGGGTTTCCTGGGGAGGCGCGGGGCCGACGTTGCCAGGTTGCACGATGTGACGCGTTCAGTTCATACGGGGGGCAATGTTGATTTTAGGCACCGTCCGGCAACTACGCGCGGGACCGGGTGCGGCCGCACTGGCGGAATTTCATGCCGGCCCCGGCGCGAAGATGCGATATTCATCTGAAAAGTTCGGTTTCATACAGAAACAAGAGAGCTCGTTTCGCATTATAATTTTATTGTTTCAAAATAATGAGTTTCTCGAATCGCATTAAGGGCTGAATGCAAAATAAAATAAAATAAAATGCGCTGCGCTGATTTTCATGAAAATGAACTGCCCGCCCGCCGACCGCGCTCGCTCCCGCGAGTTTCTTCGCCGGCGCGGCGCACGGTGGGTCGAGTCGACAGGGAAAATCGGACGGATCCTGGACACTTTGAAAGCTTTTATATTCGAAATTATGAAACAAATGAAGTTCATCAATGGCTCCACTGGGTTTTTCTTGAAATTTCCTTTTGGAGACACCCCTCGAAATTGACTTTTTGACCTTATAAATATAACAATTTGAAATTTTAGCCAAAAAATTCATAACCGACCTCTTCTACATAGAGTACATGGAGTCGTAGTGTAAATGGGGGAGCTGGCGCCATGTTCTGCTCGACGAGTTCCGAGCCAGGTGTGCGCCGAGTTCGGGTCACTTTTTCGATACATGTTCGATCCAAAATGGCGGTATGTAATACGTGGTGGTTCCTATCTTCTTTGTTTACATCGGATGGCCGGGTACCCGTGTATCGCAAAACAATCTATAATGTATCGAAAAAGTGACCCGGCGTCACACAGGAGTCTCGGAATTCGGGACCTGGAAAATGCTTAAAAGTGGCGTCAGCTCGCCCACTTACATTACGACTCTATGTACTCTATGCTCTTCTATTAGCTCGTTTCGCGCACAGTGGATCCAGAGGATTAGAGATTTCGGACATGAAATTCTTGACTAAAACTGCAAAGTTTGTAGTTAATTTCGTCACATTTTGGAGTGCTTCGAGATGAAAATTCCACGAGGAAACCAATGGAACCACTTTCAGAACCTCGAAGTTTTGTATAGATGGAGTTATAAGCGTTTAAAGTTTTCAACTTTTGTCCGACCTATCCTATAGATCCGATCCACTGAGCGGCGTCCCCCGTTCGAGGCCTTCCACAATTTTCCAGATGACCGTGCGAGGGCGAGTGCGGCTCGTCGAATTAAAAACTCTGTCGCTTCAGATAAAAGTTTGATCCGTCCGAGATCAAAATTGGAATTAGTTTGCATCAGAAATACTGACGAATCATTAACATTTCACCCGAGCGCGAGGAGGAGAAAAATGCGGCCATCTGCACCCAGCGGGCGGATTTCACTTCTTTCGCCACGTTTAAATCAGTTGTATTCAAAAGGGAACACGTCCATTTTTGCATGTGCTTTACCTTGTATTATAGGACATGCTTTAACTAAGACTCGTCGAGGAATGGACCTGTTCCCTTTTGAAAAAAATTGATTCATTAATTTGGACCGAGTCAACATAAATCGTCGTTTCCTTCACGAGAGAACGTATAACTCCATTCCAATGTTGCCAAATTTCCCCTCCTCAAGTGCATATTGACCAAGAAGATCTTGGGCATTTGTGTAAATGACAGTTTTACTGATTTTTTCTCAGATTTCATGCTAAAATCAGAGAATTTTGAATAAAAATTGCACCGAAGTGTTTTTATAAAAAAATTAATTGTTAAAGTCAATTTGGTAAAATTAGAATGGAGTTTCGTTCCTCTCTCTGGGAGACTATACGAAATGTGTCTCCTCGCATTCAGTGCCGTAAAGAGGAACCCCGCATGGAGTACCCCCGGAGTAGCCGTTCTGTGACCAGCAATGTCGAAATTTGCAATTTTTCTTGAAAGTTTTGCAATGCTGAACATTGGAATTACATGTGTAATTCCTTAGGAATTTGTAATCAGTGCAAACGATTTTTAGAAAACAGGACTATTTTATATTTTGGTCGCAAATATCTCGGCGGAGCATATCGTAAAGACTCCCATATTAGCTCATAATTTTTTTTCATTGTCCTTGAAATTGTCATTCGATAATTTTGAGTTTGGGTCCACCCAGCAGCCTGGGGGTGCCGCGGGCCGCCTCCAAAATTTTAAGTATGCCCAAAAGTAGTTCCTTTCATCCAAAGAACAGTGTAAAAATTCCATTTGTCTGAAAGCAACCGATCAACTTTAACCGGCGGTCATTTTGGAAATTTCGGTTCCTTGGAAAATCTAACGTCAAATTCGTTTTTTCCGTGTCAAAATACCTCTGGATACCGATTTTCGCCCAAATCCATTGACAAAGAACCGGTGTGAGTTTTCGGCCATTTTAAACTTTAACCGGCCGCCGCGCGCCGTTTTGAAACGGTTTGAGATATCGACTTCGGGTTTTCGCGAAAAGTTCTCTTTTTTTATGCTCTTTCAAACAAGCTATCACAAAGAGGGTCTTCCCCTCCCTAAAAATTTTAGGGGGGCAAAAAAGTAGCTCCCTTTTGACCTGGGAACAACCCCCCATGTTTCAAATCTTTACCTCAATTAAAAAATTAGAGGGAATGGAAGGGACTTTTGGATCACCCTGTATAAGATCCAAGTATAATAAGTATATCTAACGTTGGAGAAGCTTTTTAATTTTTAAATATGTTAGTAAAAAAATGCCGGGGTGATAAATGTTTGGAAAGCAGTCAGCGTTTTCCAAAGAATTTTATTCTAAGACAATCACAATAATTATACAGTTTTGATATAAAATTTAGTATACTTAATATGATAAAACAAACGACGCTATTGAGATTTTCCCATTATTCACGGTTTGCGAGAAGTTTTGCAGGATACCTGTTTTTCTCGATAACCCTCGTGAATTCTCTATTGGTTCTAATTACATTTGTCATCAATGTCCATAGGTCGAACATTGAGTATATGACGGAAGTGATGAGAAGTCAGGGTCATGAATATTCTACTCGTATTATTCACGAAAACGGTCTAATCGTGACATCATACCAGTTTATACTGACAACTTCACAGTTATAGACATTGACGAAAATCGTATATGATCAGGCTATCACGTGCATTGCGAGATCGGAGCCAAGTGGTTTCTCACTTGATTGTTGCAGTACGTCATTTTCAAAGGGGTAAACATATTAATCATTTTACCCACCTTTTCCTTTGCTCTTTCTCTGACAGTTTTCGCCTCTTTCTCTATCACATGGCATAAGCACGCTTTAACGGCAGAATCACAGTTGCCTCGGTAGAGTGCTATGCGGTCGCAACCTCTCTTCCCATACGATCCATTACCAATCTCTGCTGCTCTGGCCATGAGGGTGCATTGTAGCTTGCAGTTTTTTTCGATTAATTTTATTGTTTCATTCGACAGTCTTCCTTTTCCTCCCTTAAGGTATAAGATGTAACAAGGATCGATGACGGAGTTGAGCATGATCTTGATGAGGATGTGTAGGTTTTGCCTCTCTTCTTCTCTTCGTAGTTGCTCCGCATCTTCACTCTGCTTCCCCGGACTTAGCGTTGCCGCGGCCGATTCCTCTGTGTCTAACGCGATGTTTTTATAAGTCGAATCCATTGAGGCGCTACGCGACAAGTTTGGTGACTGCGTGCCCGATGGCGGGCCTGACCATCTCCCCGACTGTGATCCCGACACTCTCCCGGACTGTGATCCCGACTTTCTCCCGGACTGTGATCTCGATGTTATTCCCGGTAACAATTGGCTGAACGACCACGACCTCGATTTCCATTTGAATATGCTTCTCATAGATGACGTTGCTGTCAACTTGACCTGGAAAATGTGGGGGAAAAGCTTGAACAATCTAGAGCACCTGTATAGCAGGAGTATAGACAGATGTGAAACTCCGAAAATCCATCAGGCCTTCACCGATGTCTCCGCGAATAAAGTTAGGGCCCAGAAATGCAGCCAACCTATGAATCTCAATTATCCAGAGCGCTTTACTAATACAATTGTTACGAACCATCGTTTATGAAGCACGTATTTGACTTAGTTTTTGCATAAATTTACTCGTTTTGCGGAAGAACGCTCATTTATGTACATTCTCAGCCATCTTGGTTAGAATTGGAATCTGCAGACTGGCAGTGAAATTTTGTGCGTTATAAGTTGGTTAGAAGGGTGGCTGCATTTTTGGGCCCTGAGACCTCCATGAAGAGATCTGTCCATACTCTCGCTATACAGGTACTCTAGAACAATCCACCGCAAATCTTTGTGGGTCGTGCCTGGTTCAAGTTAGAGTACCTTTACAGACAGAGTATGGCCATTCGTATCTTTTTACTACAGGAAAACTGTTCCGCTTTTTGATTGGTCATTGAGTTTTTAGGCTTCATGATGCTCTTACGGCCGTAAATAAACGAACAAGATGGCGGCTCACCGTAACATCGAAAAGAAGCTGAATTTGACAATAATTTCAACTATAGGTACAGCAGTAACAATTTAAACCAGCATATCTACGAATAACACACGAAAACATTGTTAAATCGCCTTTCACCTTTATCACAGGAGGATGTAAGATGTGCATAACCTCAAACTTGCTTGCTGATAACAGCTATCTTGTTTGTTTATTTACGGCCGTAAGAACAACGTGTCAGCCTATTTTCACGCGACCAATGAAAAACCGGAACAGAAATGGCCATACTCTGTCTATAAAGGTACTCTAGTTCAAGTATGCCGGTCTAAATCAGTCTGACGTCAGCCTGAAAACCGAGGCTGCCTTAAGCCTGTGTTTCAATGTCAATGCTAGCCATCAAAGTATCAAGGGTAAGTGTTGGGATTGGATAATTCCATGACTTGGACCAATCACAGCCCTTGACATTTTGATGGAGTATTTTGATAGTGCCAGGCAGGCAGGCCTGCCTGCCTGCTTTGGTAGTGGCAGGCTGTTGCCTGTTCCGGCTGCTCGAGCTGTCATCGGACTGACTTCTGACTCACTTTTATTAGGCAAATTTCTTTCTTCAGGGAGGTCTCTTACAATATTCTTAAAGTAAACAAGCATTATGCTTGAAGTAATGGCAAATCCTTTCGAGTGGTAACTAGGAGACGGAGTTCATATCCCTGTGCTAACCAAGGAATTGATCAGACTCGGGCTAACATATGATGGTGACAATCTGGTGGTGAAAACACGAAATGTTGTGTAGGCTGGCGATAGCCGAATGGTTGAAAAGCTTCCCTACAGATAAAATCTGTAATATGTAAGTCGCCAGATTCTCATACATTCCTTGTTCAGCACAGGGATATTAGCCCGGTCTCCTAGCTCTTACTATATACTTGCATCGCGATTAAGGAATGTTTAAAAAGCCCCCAAACATAATATTAGGCAGAAGACAATTGGACTACATTTTGTAATTTGGAACTACAATTTCGGGCTCAGTTTAGAAACGACGCACAAACAGGGTGTCCCAAACCACCCGTACCAGGCATTTTTAAGCGTGCCAGTGGGGCTCGCTTTTTGAAATTACTCGGATGTACCACAGTACAGCTCACCGTTCAAATTGACCCTCTCAACCCCCAAAAGTATCCACCTGAAGAAAGGGTCGGTGCCCGCTCCACAAATTGCTCATTGGTCGGAAATTTTACGTGGATTCTTTAGAGAATGGTATGCTGATCAACTGATATCGAGGAATTCAAATTTCATGGTCTTAGAGCTTCCTTGACATCTCTTGGCGATTTGAGGGGGAGGGGGAGGGGGACACTATCATACCATCTTTTTCCGACGAATCTACGTAAGTTTTCCGACCAATGAGCAATTTGTGGAGAAGGCGCCGACCCCCTCTTCGGGTGAATACTTTTGGGGGTTGATTGAGTCAATTTTAACTCCTAGGTGTAATTAAATTTTAAATTTGTTGCACTTTTCAATTTGGATGCCATCAATTTGCGATTCCGCGGGAGGGAACCCCGGAATTTGAAATGAAGCCCCCCCCCCTCCGTTCACTACCCACGGGGATCTAGGGGGCTTCGGGACTATGAAATTCGAATTCTTTTGGGTCGATTCTCTATTCAACCCCGCGGTCCCGACTTCGTGCGACCTAAACCAACCGAAAAAAATGCCTTGTACGGGTAGTCTGGGACACCCCGTATGCACCGTTAAGTTCCTTCTGCATATGAGTGTTTTTGCAGATGAGCCAAAAATTTTAGTTTCAAATTGCAAAATGTAATTCAATATTCACGATCCTCGAATAAAATCTATCAGTATAACTGAGGGGAGAGATTGACATTTTTTGCTGCTTCCAGGACTTTATGTCCACCTACCTTTCGTCCATTAAATAAATGTCTTCCGCTATTTATGTCCACTAAACGTTAAGTCCAGTCTTTATTAAGTCCACATGATTTAATTTCCAACCATGAATATGTCCACAATTGTCCAAACTGTGGACATGTTATGTCCACATTTTTTCTTCTTATAGGAACCACCTCAAAAATAAATGCACATTACAACTGCCTTCATTCTTACAAACATTTCATTCATGAATCAAGTCATGAAAGAGTTAGCTAGTTATTATAATTGTAAGACATTCAGCGTCTCAGGCTATTAACGTCTTTACAGATAATTTTGAAAATAGGAGTATAAACGAAAATTTAGATTTTTAAATTAAGAGAGGTGAGGAGTTTTAGAATTTTGGTGGTAATATTGGGTTCATCGCATGAACAGACTTTAAGAGCAGATAAAAACATATGTTCATGTGTACACTGTACGGATATGATTAGATGAAAACCAAAGCGGGAGTTTAGGAAACGCTCCAATGCCAAATTAAGCATTTTTCAGTAATAGATGCAGTCAAAATCGAAAGTCCTCTTTAACTAGTTATTTCGTGGTCTTGCACATTAAAATTCAAGTTCTACATTGAAGGTGAAACTGTGTGCATTGTATGGTCTTTCTCTGCAAAATTTTTAGTGAAGTATTTAATGGCAGAGCTCCTAACCTCAAAGAAAAATAAGACACGTTTTTGTGCTGATTACTCGGAAATTTGGACCACGACTACGGGGCTAGTACGATACCTGGACCATGCTTATGTCCAAGGAATTCCAGCTAGGGGCCGACGTCGGGCGATTCCTCCTAGATTCGCACCTGCCGTTTGGAATATGTATACTCGACCATGTCCGAAACGACGAGAGTCATAGTTCTAAGTTAGTTACTCATAGTTGCTCGCGGGGCATCAGCGAATCCGCCACCCGATCAGGAAAAAGTATGCCGAAAATCACGCGAGAATCCGGCAAATGGTGAACTCATACGAAACATATAAAGACAACAGAAGGATGACTGAATACTTACGAGGCATTTCTTATCGCATCAAAATAATTGACATCGAAGAAATCATTGAGGAAAACGAGGACGGATTCCTTTGAAGGTAAGCTTCACTCTCCTTCTCACAGCCTTTTCCCAGTTAATTTCATTCATATAATGTAAAAATATTTTAAATATCATTGCAAAATGAAAAGAAGGGTAGGTGGAGATTAAATAAATTTTGGATTTGATTTTAGTGGACTTTACATTTGTGGACTTAACTTAGAGGACGTTTAAGTAATGGACTTAACAATATATTTAGTACTTATTATAGTACTTAATTGGTATGGTCATGTCCAGAGAATGGCAGGAGACAGGTTGCCGAAGAAGGTCCTTAACTGGGTTCCTCCTGGGAGAGGACGCAGAGGGCGCCCAATGAAAGGCCGGAGGGAAGGGATTGAAGCGGAAATGTTAAGGTGCTCAATCCCCCAAGATTTGTGATTTGAAAGAGAGCAGTGGAGGTTAGGAGTCGTAGAGCGCGAGGGAGTGCTGTAAAGTACTTATAATAGTACTTATTTGGTATGGTCATGTCCAGAGAATGGCAGGAGACAGGTTGCCGAAGAAGGTCCTTAACTGGGTTCCTCCTGGGAGAGGACGCAGAGGGCGCCCAATGAAAGGCCGGAGGGAAGGGATTGAAGCGGAAATGTTAAGGTGCTCAATCCCCCAAGATTTGTGATTTGAAAGAGAGCAGTGGAGGTTAGGAGTCGTAGAGCGCGAGGGAGTGCTGTAAAGCGACTTATATGTATGTATGTACTTAACAATAGTGAATAGGCTTTAGAACTGTGGACGTAAAAATTGTGGACGAAAAGTCTGTGATCGTAAAAAAAGTGGACATAAAGTCCAAGTACCGCAGCAAAAAGGTACAAACAATACGAAATAAAAACAAAAACACGAAATA